TGAGAAACGCACTGTTGGGTGATTTAATTGTTGTGCAAACATCATTGAGTATACTCACATAAACCTAGATGGTGTAAGTCAATCACTATGTGTGGCCTCAACATAGTTAAGAAATGGTAAACACAAGATAGTGCAGCTACTGCTAGCATATAATGGGTCAATTATTTCGTTTACTAGACACTTTTTTTTTTTACACATGAGTACACTCTAACAGGCATCAAAAGAATAGCAAATTAAGGGGATTATATAACTGTGTAATGGAGACTATCTTATCTAGGTATGAGGATACAATGCAGTATATATCTCTACTTCCAGATCAAAGATGAACTCCCAATGAATCCAATAGGATGCTGGATTCTCTGCCACTGTCCATGCCCACAATAATGGACATATGACTGTGTATGAAGAACTATACTATAGTAATAATATAGGGGAACTCAGTGGAGGGGGGAGGGAATTGGGGAGGAGGTAAAGGAAACCCCAGGGCCAATGGAACTGTATCATATAATGATAATAATAATAAAAAGGAAGTTTAAAAAGTATAGCAAATGCATAAACCAATATACAGTAGTTTATTACCATTATAAAGCCATAATACTGCACTTAACTGTATGAACAGTACTTTTATGACTGGCAAATAGAGAGGTTTGCGTACACTACCTTCACCCCCAAAACATGAACAATACATTGCACTACAAGTTAGGACAGCCATAGCAGATCTGGATGATAGGAATTTTTAACTCCATTATAATCTTATGGGACTGCTGCCACATATGTAGTCTTTTGTATATGTGTATATGTAGTTTGCGATCGACTCAAAGTTATTAGGCATCACATGGCTGTATTTCTTTTCTACATACACACATGCAAATTTTATCCAAGGGGTCCTTTTAGCTGGGATTCTCAAATTCAAAACTACTTGTTTTTGATCGACCTGGACTGGGAGAGCCTCTCCACTATGAAGGCGGCAGGAGTAGTCAAAGCAAAAATGCAGTAGTTCTACTGCCCTTATCATGGCACAAAGGGATGCTTTCAAGCACACTGGAGCCTGTTTTCGCCGTTACTGCTCCTAGCTAGCAGCTGTGGAATGCAACTTCAAGGCACTGAATCATCACAAGCATCCTAAAAACGCTAGTGCTCTTTCTTGCCTTTTCACGGGTAAAGAAATGAAGCCTGGAGAATTCGTCCACAATCACAAATGTCTTAAGCAGCAAAGTAGGGCTTCAAAGTCAGATAATTCGAATCCAGAGCCTGTTTTTCTCATTACTATATTTTATAAGTTCCTAGTGCTGAGAGATAAAGAACTATCAAGAAGTCTCCTAACTGTTGGAATTTCCACCTACCATTCAATGCCCAACATGGTTAAAACTTCTCATTTTGAAACGCACAACGAATGTAAGGCAATTAGTACAGTACCTGCCACATGTGATAAACACTAAATAGGAGTACTTACACAGTAAGAAGTATAACAATTTCCCCTCTCCTTCTCCAATCATGTATTTTTTTTTTCCACTCCAGTACTCACTCTCATTTATTTTCCCTCCGCTCATTCTTCAAGACCAAAACTGAGACCCCTACATCAGGCTTTTCAGTTATCCTATGCTCACTCAATTACCATGTCTCACAGAAAACTTTTTCAATTCAAACACGAATTTCAGCCCTTGCCAACTCCACATGAAAAATTCCCACTTGTCATCAGGTCAAACCCATCTGTTTCAGCACTCAGCATTCAAGGACCGACCTGGGTGCCAGGCATTGTGAATTCTGTGAGGAACAAAACAAGGTTTTCCTCCTTTCCACAGGTTCAGTTTAGTAGAAGTTAAAACACGCAGAAGAATGACAGCACAAAACAAATCCCAAATAAATGCTATATGTAGGTCTGTAATCCTACAGGGTGCTTTATCCGGGCCCAAGCATGAGAGAAAAGGAAAAAGGTGACTAAAGGACTGGTGGAAAGAATAAAGCTAGATGAAAATTAGGCTCAGGGAAACTGGAGGTAGTAAAATACAACTGATCAGAAGTAGACAGAAAGAGGATGTGAACTCTGGGCGGCAAGTGGTTCCTCAGAACCGAGCTGGGATGGCCTCACTTACCTCCTCAACCAGCTGACCTGCCTGTCCTCACAGCGAAGGCGACATCCTGGTTTGTCGTTTCCATGGAGGCACAAGTAGCAACAGCAACAGGCCGACCAGTGGGCAAAAGCAGAGGGGGAGGCCAGAAGCTTAAAAACTTTAGAAAAATCAAACCACAAGCAGTGAAGCAGGGCCGGTTTCAAACCAACGAGAGCAAGTGAAAGAGGCGGCCCCTGCAGGGGCACAGGCAATTTTCCTGGGGCTAAGTCTCCTGGGTAAATTGTGACACTTGCTCCCAGATCCAGAGGCGACTTCAGCAAAGGAGATTGGAGCTATTGCAACCATGAAAATCGTGGGCACTCAAGAGCCCCGGAAGATCTGAGCTGCCTGGGTTCTCCAACTCGCACAAAGCTAAGGAAAGCTGTGGAGCCCGTTGCGAGCACTCTGGCAAATGTCTTCTCTGGATTTAGGGGCTTTCAGCCCAGGCAGAGGTTCATCAGTTGGTCTAAACGAGCCACAGCAGTAACCAATTCTGCTAATCCTTCAGTTCTGCATGAGGTTCATCAAGTCTAAATTGGACCAAAGATTCTGCCTTTCCCAGCCTCCTACACCAAACAACTGAAGGGCAACACGAGGGGCCACGGGATGCTCCTCGCAGACCATCACCACAGGCAATTCCACTTTATCTCCAATGCTTTTGGTGTGTATTGCAGGTTTTACAGTATTGGGTGCCTCGTCTCGTGCATATACATGTATGTATACATTACATATGGCTATATCACATCATCTATAATATATACCCCCTGTGTAGGTACATATATAATCTATAGGGATGTCTGGAATTCGGTTTTTTTCTGAGTTTAACTGAATTTTCAGAAAACTGAATGATAGGGTATGCATGTGACCAGCTAAATCACCACTTTGGACATCCACAGGTCAGAGGATCAGAGGATCTAGTTCCAGCCTGCTTGCACACCCCGGGAGGCAATAGGTGGTGACTCAAGCAGCCACATTCCTGTCATGCAGGTGGGGCACCTGCCTTGAAGCTTCGGCCTGGCCCAGCCCTGACTGTTGCGGCCATTTACGAAATGTTCCGTGGATGGAAATGTCTCCCTCTTTCTCAAGTAAAATGTGAATAAATAAAAACACTTTTAAAAAACTGAGATGGAGGGCCCGGTGCGATAGTGTAATGGTTAAGGTCCTCCCCTTGAATGCGCCAGGATCCCAAGTGGGTACCAGTTCCAATCCCGGCAGCTTCACTTCCCATCCAGCTCCCTGCTTGTGGTCTGGGAAAGCAGTTGAGGATGGTCCAAAGCCCTGGGACCCTGCACCCACGAGGGAGACCCGGAAAGATGTTCCTGGCTCCTGGCTTCAGACTGGCACAGCACTGGTCGTTGCGGCCACTTGAGGAGTGAACCATCAAAGATCGTCCTCTTTGTCTCTCCTCCTCTCTATACATCTGCCTTTCCAATAAGATAAATAAATCTTAAAAAAAAAAAAACTGAGATGGAAAGAAAAGGGCAAAATATTCAAAGTGTTTCTCCACAGAAGTGATTATGCTTTTATTTCAGTGCCATCAGATTTAGCCAAAACAGCCTTCATTTTGGAATTTCAGGTGGTTTAGCATAAACATGTCCCATAGGATGCTGCAGTTTTGAATGACTATGTTGTTTCTAAAACAAAACAAAAAAAAAATTTAAAGCAGTTACACACACACACACACACACACACACACAGATCTTCCATCTGCTCTCTCACTCTTAAATGGCTATAACAGCTAGAACTGAGTCAGGCTACAGCTAGGAGCCAGGAATTCTATCCAGATGTCCCACTTGGGTAGCAGAGGCTCAAATAGAAAAAAAAAAAAAAGCTTTAATAATTGCAGGTGAAAGTTACTATTTGCTTCCTTGGTTGGTTATGATCAATAAAGAACCTAAAGGGAAATACAGCCAGCCTGTTGCCTCATCCAGTGTGCTACTCGCCGACCTCACTGGCAAGTGTATTGCCAGAAGGTGTTGTTGTTGGTTTTTTTTTTTTAATTTGTTAATCCATTTCCAATCCTCTTGAACTTGGCAAGTCAAGGGAAGAAGGCCCAAGTGATTGGGTTCCTGCCACCACCTTGGAGATCCAGACGGCATTCCTGGTAAACTCCTAACTTGTGTTCTGGTCCACCCCCCCCCCCGTGTGAATCAGTAGATAGATCTGTAGCTCTGCTTTTTCAAATAAATAAGTGCATCTTTAAAAAATATATTTGAAAAGTAGATTTACGGAGAGAAAGATCTTCCTTCCATTGTGTCATCCTACAAATCGCTACAAGAGCTGGAGCTGAGCAAATCCAAAGCCAGGAGCCAGGAACTTCTTCCGGGTCTCCCACGTGGGTGCAGGGTCCCAAGGCTTTGGGCCGTCCTTGGCTGCTTTCCCAGGCCACAAGCAGGGAGCTGGATGGGAAGTGGAGCTGCCGGGATTAGAACTGGTGCTCACACGGGATCCTGGCGCTTGCAGGTGGAGGATTATCTTGTTGAGCCAATGTGATAGGACTGTGCACTTTTCAAAATACTAAAATTTAGATGGTTTGTCATCTAAGAAACTGATAGACCATATCCAAAGTTGCAAAAGGTATGTTGCAGTCTCTAAAAGCTGCTATTCCCTAGAGGTACACATTGAATTTGGAAGAATACGACTAGCTTCGTTTTTTCACCCCAAGAGCCCGAATTGCATTCACTGATCTCTCCTTTTGCTTTTTTTTCCCACCCTTTCGCCCTCCGGAAATAGCCGAACACTTACAGAGCTTCCCAGTCTTTCTCCGCCCCCTTGCGGAAAAAGCCGAGGCAGAGTAGGGTGCCTAGGGTTCCGGCCTTTCCGGACAGCGGCGGACTGCACTCGGAAGGGGAGGGGCGACTGGAATTTAAGGCCTTCCCCTCCCGCCCCGTTCCCTCTGTCGGCGGCGTGGGGCAGCCGTGGCAGCGGTGTCGGTAGGAGGTGGCAGGAGGCGGCAGCTGCGCGGACACCGGCCAAGACAGGAGAGACGCTTGGAGTAGCACCGCCGGGGAGACTGGCTTCTTTGTATCCGGGGCCTCCAAGCCTTGCGCGGCCCGAGGAGGAGAAGCGGCGACGCCGGCGTCTGGAAGCAGGTAAGGACGCGGCCTCGGTCTGGGCAGGGGGCGAGGGAGCGCTGCTGCCTTCTCCGACCCTGGGCCGTGCCTGCGTTTGCGATTGCCTCACTTGAACCAGGAAGCGACGGAGTCCGGAGGCTCAGCTCCTCCGGCTCTTTGTTTTGTGTGGGCTGCAGAGTGAAGAAGGGGGACGAGCCGGGAGCGCCGTGGCGCCCTCCGGTTCGTCGACAGTGACCGAGGGGCTGTTTATGTCCCCGGGTAGGCCGTGGGAAGGATGTGGGGTGCGCGCCACCGAGACCCCGTAGTTTTCCCTCGTCCCTTGGCTTTCGTTTTAGGACGCCTTTTCCTCTGCCTAGCGCCTACTTTGATTCAGAGCTTTTCGGTCGGGCCCATTCTCCCATTTCAACCCCTTCCCGGGGCGTAACAATGCCGCCCGCTTTGCTTCATCCTGCTTTTCCTTGGCACCCCTTGTTCCTCCCGCCGTTTGCATCTGCCGTTTGCATTTGCGAGACGCTTGCGTTAAAAACCTGCGTTGCAACCGGTAAGGTACAAACCGAGAGGAGGGGAGCAGAGCGAGGGAGATGGAGGGGGGAGCGTTTAGCTGCCACAGGGAACCGCGTGCCGTTTTGCTTCATTGGTGCTGGCTTTGATCTCTTTTTCACCTTCACCAGCCCCTCCGAAGCAAACCCCGGTCAAGGATTTGTGTGAGGAAGCGCCTTCTGCACAGCCAGATCGCGAATTTTCTGGAGGGTTGGCTTGTTTGGACAGAACTGTGCTGTCCCTGGGCCCACCCTGACGAGGAGGAGGAGGAGGGGAACACGTAAACAAAACGAAACCGAGTCTACATGTCACCTGGACGCACGCGTTTGACGCAGTCCCACATTGGAAAAGCCCATTTGCAAAGGGCAAAAAATTGTGAAACTGCATTCAGAAAACCAGTTTTTCCACTTAAAAGTGACTTCTATCGAAACCCCTAATTCCAGGAGGCCTGGTTGTTGGCATGCTGTCCAAAGGTCACCTAACTGATGATGGGTTTTTGGTAACCTGGAATTCCTTGGTTACCAAACGTGCTTGAATTTTAGACGTTTTGCTTGCGTTTTGTTCTGGAGCTCTCATTTTGAGAAATGTAAAAGCATTTTTATTTCGGTGTGCATACAGCTTAAGCACTAGGACAGTTATACATGGTTGATAACAGGCGAAGCGCATTTACAAGAAGTATTTATTTGCTAATTGTTAGTACAGAATAAATGTATATGTGTTTTTAGTATGTATGAGTGCTGGATTTTTAAATTGTTGTTGGGAATCTCTTGTGTGAAGTGCAAAAGAAAATGTATTTTGTCTGACACCTGCCTTGACTTTCTAGAGTGATGTGGAATCTGAGAGTCCGTATTCTTATGAACTCAGTTGATGCGACTAAGGTTTTCATAACCAGTGCCCGGAATTCTTTACCAATGTAATGAAATGTTTCATGGCTTCATACAAATAACCTTAAGCAATGGTAAAGTTCCCTTCCTTTTTTTAAAGATTTATTTTATTTTTATTGGAAAGGCGGAGAGAGAGAGGAAGATCTTCCGTCTGCTGCAGGGTCTGCAGGGGCCGGAGCTAAGCCGACTCGAAGCCAGGAGCCTAGAGCTTCTTCTGGGTCTCCAGGTGAGTGCAGGGTCCCAAGGGTTTGGACTGTCTTTGACTGCTTTTCCAGGCCACAAGCAGGGAGCTGGATGGGAAGTGAGCAGCCAGGATTAGAACTGGTGACTGTATGGAATCCCGGTGCGTTCCAAGGCAAGGACTTTAGCCGCTTGGCTACCGTGTTGGGCCCCTTTCTTTCCTAAGAGCATCTGTTGACTTCCCTTGGTAGTCTGTTTACCATTCTACCTCTAGAAATCATAAAGGTAGAGGTGAAAGGAAGGGGATGAGAGATGAAGAGAGAGGAAAGATAGAGAACAGTTTTTAGGATCAGGCACTCTTAAGTAATAGCAGAAATATGCAAGATTGAGAGACAAGAACCAATATTTTTAAATGGCTGTGGCTGTGGGAAGTAGCTTTAGGATGTGTTTTTTTTTTAAAGATTTATTTTATTTTTATTGGAAAGTCCGATAGAGAGGGGGAGAGACAGAGAGCAAGATCTTCCATTGGCCGGTTCGCTCCCCAAGTGGCTGTAACCACTGGCGCTGCGCCAATCCGAAGCCAGGAGTCTGGAGTCTCTTCCAGGTCTCCCATGTGGGTGCAGGGTCCCAAGGCTTTGGGCCGTCCTTGGCTGCTTTCCCAGGCCACAAGCAGGGAGCTGGATGGGAAGCGGGGCCGCTGGGATTAGAGCTGGGCCCAGGATGTGATCTTAAAGATAGGAGTAAACATGTAGAATGTTTTTAGACTCAGTTTTGAACATGAAGCTTTAGTTACAGAAGAACTTCTGTGCATTCAAAGTGGAAACTTTCCTTAAAATACTCTTAAGATAAGCTTTAGACCTTTTCTTGGAAAAGAAATAGGGACTAAGAAAATTCTAATCTTGAAACAGTACTTAGAGGAAATGTATGCATCTGTGATTCAAAGGAAGGAGACAGTGGAGATTATTGTTGGTATCTGTGAACTGTTTTAAAATGAGCTTGAGGAGGTGGGTCTTTCTGCTGAAGATGTCCCGTACGATGCCTGCACCTTAAATGCAGGGCCTGGGTCTGATTCCAGCTCTACTCCCGCTTCCTGCTAATGGGCATCCTGGGAGGCAGCAGGTGATGGCTTAGATCCTGCTTCTCTGCTGGTGATGTGGGAGACATGCATGAACGTTCATGGTTCCTGACTTTGGCCCAGCCTCAGTTGTAAGCATTTAGGAAATGAACCAGCATCCAGGAACTCCTCTTCCTGCCTTTAGCCTTGTGTGTGTGTGTGTGTGTGTGTGTGTGTGTGTGTGTGTGTGTGTGTCTCTTTCAAAAATAAATTTTGTTTAACTCAGCAGCAAAATGCAAGATTTGATACAAGGTCCAAGTGTGTGTATGAGAAAAGCCAAAACATTATGCCAAATTTCCTTTATAATTTGTATAAAGTAATGATTTTATAGTTGAAATTCTGAATGATTTTTTTCCTGCCAAATCCTCTACCATTCTCTCTTGTCTTATAGGCATGGAGAGTAGAAAACTCATTTCTGCTACAGACATCCAGTACTCCGGCAGTCTGCTCAACACCTTGAATGAGCAACGTGGCCATGGCCTCTTCTGTGATGTTACTGTCATTGTGGAAGACCGGAAATTCCATGCGCACAGGAATATTCTTTCAGCTTCCAGTACATACTTCCATCAGCTCTTCTCCGTTGCTGGGCAAGTTGTGGAACTGAGCTTTATCAGAGCAGAGATCTTTGCAGAAATTCTGAATTATATCTACAGTTCTAAAATTGTTCGTGTTAGAGCAGATTTGCTTGATGAGCTAATTAAATCAGGCCAGTTATTAGGGGTGAAATTTATAGCGGAGCTTGGTGTCCCATTGTCACAGGTGAAAAGTATCTCAGGTACAGGTCAAGATGGTAATGCTGAGACCATGCCACCTGGTTCTAATGATAAGAATCTTCTAGAACAAAAATCAAAGGAGGAAGCCCACGAGAATGGGGCTACTGTCATGCCTATAATAACTGAGTCTTTTTCATTATCTGCTGAAGATTATGAAATGAAAAAGATCATTGTTACTGATTCAGATGATGATGATGATGATGTCATTTTCTGCTCTGAGGTTTTGCCTGCAAAAGAGACCTTGTCGGATAACAATGCCGGGACACAGGTCCAGCCTACCCCAGGCCCTGTTGCTGTTTCAAATGCTGTACCTTGTGCTAGCAATAATGCTCCGCCTTTAACAAGTGTGACACCTACTCAGAAATTTCCTGCTCCTGTGAATCCAGTATCTGTGAGCCAAACACAGGGAAGTGAAAAATTGCTGGTGTCTTCAGCTCCAACACATCTGACTCCCAATATTATTGTGTTAAATCAGACACCGCTTGCTGCACAACCAAGTGTCAGTTCTTCACTTCCAAATCATATGCCCTCTTCAGTCAATTTGCTTGTGCCAAACCAGCAAGCACCGAACAGTGCTGCTGTAGCAGGAAACAAAGCCAGTGAAGAGGAGGAGGAAGAAATAATAGATGATGATGATGACACTATTAGCTCCAGTCCAGACTCAGCAGTCAGCAACACTTCTTTGGTCCCACAGGCTGCTCCCTCCCAAAATAACACTTTTGATGGATCCTTGGTACAGAAGATGCAGGTTCCTACACTTCTGCAAGAACCACTTTCTAATTCTCTAAATATTTCAGATATAATCACTAAATTCACTAATGACCGAGGCTTAGGATCCAAACATCTCGTGGAGGGGCAGAAAATCATTACTTTAGACACAGCCACTGAGATTGAAGGCTTGTCAAATGGTTGCAAGATTTATGCAAATATTGGTGAAGATACTTATGATATAGTGATCCCTGTCAAAGATGACCCTGACGAAGGGGAGGCCAGGCTTTCGGGTGAGGCACCAAAAACACCCGGCAGTGAGACGGCAAGCAAACGTATGAAAGTGAAGCATGATGATCACTATGAGTTGATAGTAGATGGAAGGGTCTATTATATCTGCATTGTGTGTAAAAGGTCATATGTGTGTCTGACAAGCCTGCGAAGACATTTCAACATTCACTCCTGGGAGAAGAAGTACCCGTGCCGTTACTGTGAGAAGGTATTTCCTCTTGCAGAATATCGCACAAAGCATGAGATTCATCACACTGGAGAGCGAAGGTATCAGTGTTTGGCCTGTGGCAAATCTTTCATTAACTATCAGTTCATGTCTTCACACATAAAGTCAGTGCATAGCCAAGATCCTTCTGGGGACTCGAAGCTTTATCGGTTGCACCCATGCAAGTCTTTACAGATCAGACAATATGCCTATCTTTCTGATAGGTCAAATACTGTGCCTGTGATGAAGGATGATAGTATTGAGTATAAGGTTGATGCTGGAAAAGACCCTCCTGTGCAGCCTGCAGCTCCTGCTCAGAACAAGCCAATGACCTGGGAAGATATTTTCATTCAACAGGACAATGACGCTATCTTTAAGCAGAATGTAACAGATGGCAGTACTGAGTTTGAATTTATAATCCCAGAATCTTACTGAACTTGTTTGAAATATCAGAAAGTGTTTGGTTTGATTTAAGGGACAGAAATTTTGGAAGACCTGTGAAGCAACTTATGGTTAAAACAAATTGCTTTTTGATCTACCATGTCATCTGAAGGTAGTCTAGTTTGATTATTTGTTAACAGTTTTTAGAAGCAAAGTTTTGTGAAAGTTTGAGTAAAATCGAGAAGTCCCCTTCCTCCAGTATCTGTTTATATAGTTAGCTTCCGGCTAATTTAAAGAGTCAAAAATTTTAAAAGTGTGGCAAGATACTTTTCTGAGTAGAATTTGAAGTGGTCTGAAATGTTCTTTGATGATAACTGGAGTCATTAGCAGATCTAGGGCATCTTACGCCTTTTCCCTTCCATGTTAGCACTTTACTGATAAATCCCTTAATTTTTTTTCAACGTTGAAACTATGATTAGGTGTTGTGTCATGTATCTGGCATAACAAGCAAAGAACTTTAAAAATTTCCTGGAGAATTTCAGGATAAATCTCAGTTTGGTGGCTTATTCTGCTAATCCAACGGGTAGCAACTTCATGCCACCTTTCTCCCAGGAAAGTCTGTCATCTGAAGGATAAATTAATTTTAGCAAATCAGATTAGTCTGTTTGTTGCCGATTGGTGACACTTTGGTGGCTAGATGCTGTATGCCTTTTCAGTGTGGTCTCTGTGCAAAACAGATGAAAAGAGACATTTCTGAAATGTGGACAGGAGGAAATGAAAAGTTCTCTTGTACTTATTTTTAATTATCCTCATGACATTTTTAAAATTTTGGATTTGGAAGCCACCAAATAAACCTTTAATTATGTATAAATGTTGTAAATGGCAGAGTCTATATAGGAGATGCTTGCATATTTTGGGCAGGAGGTTACTTTCGTGTATTTTTAAATGTTTATATTACTTAGAATATCTAATAGGAAGTTATTTGAAATAGTTGAAGAAGTAATCTAGTATTTTTCTTTCAGCAATATCTTTGAGGTTTTTGCCCCTTCTAAAGTTCCATTCCATCTGCAAATTAATACAATATTATAGCAATCAGAAACTACATATGGAATGTTACATAGGCTTATTAATTCTCATTTATCTTGACAATAAATACCACCTTTCTTCCTTGTAAAGTGACCCATAATTTAAACACTTAGAAAATAAAGTTAAAACTTACTGAAGATCTAGTATTAAAAGGAAGCAGGTTGGAATAAATGCATAGCGTAGAATTTATAACAGAGTTAACTTGTTGAATTTTTGTAAATGATTGCTTTGCAAGGGAAAAATTAATAGAAAAAAAAATGTTGCGTATAGTCATTAGTCATTTGTAACTTTAAATATTTCTTATTTCAACATAGATGATTTCTTCTTACCATGTGTTTTAAAAAATAGTATTCTTGACTTTGAAATTAAAAGCTTTAATCATTGTTCATGTATGCATCATTCTGATTTATGTAAGCTAGATTTCAAGGTAATAGTTTCAAGAGTTTTCTTACTTTGTTAGCTGGGGGTGTCAGGCACTGGTATTTGTAATAATACAAGAAAAAAAATTAAGTAATCTGCTTACCAAGGGTTAGAGTAATGTCCATTTGTTTTGTTTTCTGTTCTTTAGATCTTAAAATTGTTTTAGAAAGCCATCCCTTGGAAAACTCGAGAAATTACCTTATAATTTAAAGAATCTGTCGTCTTTAGAATTACAATATTTGTTTTCCTTTCTGTGTAGCAATTGGTAACATTACACTTTGGTAATAGGGTACACTCTGAAATGTTCTTAGTGGGAATCTGTTTGAGTTTTATTAATGTTCTTTCACCAGTTAAATGTAATCACTTCTGCCAGTGTGAATGATTATGATGCCAGCAGTTTCCAGACCTTTCAGATTCCACTGCTAGGTAAATTAAATTTGTCATAATAAAACGTGTTGATTTCTATAAGACTATTATGACAAAATAGGAATTCTATAATGGAAAACTATTCTAAATAATTAAGAGTTGATTTGCTGTTGCTGTGCTCTGTGTAAATTTTGACTATGGAAATTCAATTCTGCCCTCTAATGGTATCTTAGGGAGTTTCTTTTGGGAGGAGGAAAACTGGAAAATTAAACTAATTTTTGCCAGAAGACTCTTAACTTGCATGTTATCTCAGGGTCTTCAATTTTTATAGATCTTTAGCCAATGCTTGGAATTCATGTGGAATATTCCTTTGGGATGAACTTCAGTACTTACTGTAACATAATAGAGCAAGATGCTGTTCAATATTTGCTATGGGATTTTTCTATTTTATACTCTACTTTCTGGCTATTTACATTTCCTTTTATTCTTTTAAATTTGCTCCAGTGCAGAATTTCCAGTAAATATTCGAATAGCAGGTATTTAAATAGTAATTTGTTAACTAACAACGTTAAATGCTCTAATGAAGCAACGAATTTTAAATACTGTTCCAAACTTACAAGACAAAAATGTATGCTTTATTCATTCATTCATTTACTTAAAGCCAGTTACAGATAAGGAAAGACCAAGAAAGCTTACATCTGCTGGCTCACTTCCACTCCCCAGATGGCCACAACTACTAGGGCTGAGCCTGGAAGAAGCCCCGAGGAATTTCTTCCTCGTGTCCCACATGGGTGTAAGGACCCCAATGCTTGGGCTATCTTCCACTGCTTCCCCAAGCCATTAGCAGGGAGCTGGATTGGAAGTGGAGCAGCCAGGGCACAAACTTATCCATATGGGATGCCAGAGTCAGAGGTGGTGGCTTTACCTGGTAAGCCACAATTCTGCCCCCACGTTTCCCCCTTTTTTTCCCCTTATTTTTCTTTTTGTAAAGCTAAAATACAATCAATTAGAATTTTGCTGGTAACATTTCAAACATAGAGCCATTATGAGAAAATTCCATATTGTTCCCTGTTGTACCCCAAAAGATAAAATGGTAAGCACTGAGCAAGGTATTGCCAAAGCATGCATATTCTGAAGATTTAAATGCTAATTGAACATCATTGGCTGGCTTTTCTCTGTCATTTCCCCCAATACTGTAATGTTCATACTTGTACAATCTGTCTGGAGTTTATTCTACTTTGTGAATCATTACCTGATATTAGTTCATAGAGTTTCTTCATGGCAAAAATAAAAAAATGTTTTCATTCTAATTTGTGAATGCATTTTTATTTCAGAAATTACAGGATTTTTATAACCATAATACTCAAGTGAGTCAGCTGCTGTCTGTTATTTTAGAGAGCTTACACTTTGGTGGATACGATGAGGATACATGTAAATGGATAAGGAGGAGAGGTTTATTAATTTGAAACATCACAAAAGCAGCCTGGGTTTCCAACATGGCAGTGATACAGATTTTTAAGCAACATCCAGTTCATACAGGTTCTGGATTATTAGTTGAATACTTCATGCCCAGTTCAATACTTTAAAGCAGAATTAGGAATTAAGCAGGAAATATTACAAAATGCAATCAAGATACATATTGGAGATACAAATTCCTTTGTTACAGCAAATGTTTTGCAAAAGAGTAAAGCCGCAAATATTAATTTTTCTAAGGTAATGTGCACTTCCAATCTAATAAAAAAAAGCTGCTCAAATTAAGATTACAAAATCTATACTGTTTCAAGTTATTTTGTAAAGTAAGAAAAATACATACAAATGAGTTATAGAATCTTAACACTTTAAGAAATGTGATCAATGTAGGCTATAGTATGTAATGGTGCCTCTTAAAAAACTAAATGTACACACTTACTAAAGCAAAAGGTAAAGTATAAACAAAGCAAAAGACTTCATTGAGTGTTCTAACAAGTTCATATTTTATAGTAAGTCAATTAGTTATTACACACTTTTTGAAATCCAATAGAATTTGAATATATATGCTCAGCACTGTAAAAAATAATTTTATATAATGCAAAACAATTATAGTTTTTCAGATTTTCAGTCTAGATAAGACAACATGATTCTGAAAATTAAACCAAATATATTTTTTGCAAACATTGAACAGTGAGTGCACATAGTGTGTGTGCACTGGTGACTCTTGACGGGCAGGTGTCTACAAGGTCAGTGGGAGCACCAGCATTTGTCTGCTACCTCTGATCCATTAAGTTGGGAGGTAGCAAATTGGCTGGAAATTTTTCCAGTATTTGTTCTGTGTTTGCAAAACTGTCTAATTAGGTACCCTCCTGAACCCCCTATAATTTTGCATTATACTAGTGCAGGATGATCAGTCTCCCTTTAAAATGTATTCTCAGGTTAACGTAAGATCACAAAGTATCCTTAAGTGGAGGAATGGGTGCTGCAGTGTTTTAAATTTATCAAGTTGGTGGTTTAAAGCTGTGTATAATTAAAAATTGAAAATTGGCCAGTGTGCCTAAAGGATTTTAAAATCTATGGTAACACTTAAGAATTTGTCACGTTGGGTACATTTGAGATTTTACAGACTTGAAGCGGTATTTTAACACTTCCATAGTGTTGAACTGAACACTATGATTGGCCTCAACAGAAAAAAAAAAAGGACCAATAAAAGCAATGGCATTAAAACAGATGATTTTTTTGAGGTGAGGTGCAAGATACGTGCAGTTTGCTGGGGTTGAAGCACAATATCTGAAGATTAAATAGTCACAAGGGTTAATAACAATTCATATCACGATCCAAGAACCTAATCTAACATTTTAAAACTGAATTTCAACTGCAATGTATCTCCTGAAGGAAATTTTCTAATAATGCAATGTGTTAGTCTAACCAATGTCTCCAACGTTGTCAGATTTGACAGATATGCTTAAAACATCTCACATGTTGCTATGCTTCTGGAGCAATTAGTTCTGTTCTCTTCTACTCAAGGGAATATTGCACTTTTCCCTTCAGCAGGTACCAGTAACAAAAACAGCTGACTGATCACAGGGTCAAGTTTACAATACGGAGAAGAAAGGGGTAAGATGTAGGCAGCTTTTTTTTTTCCATATTCAGACATAAGCACATACAATTCTTTGCAAAAACTCTACTGGAACTACTGTGTAGCCCCTCAGCTGGGAAACTCCTTGGGGACTGACTTCAGTAGTAGGGAAAGAGCGTTTTTAAGCCAGGTGCTTCCACCAGGGTGCTAGGGTGGCACTCTGTCAAGGGCCTGAGGGCAATACTCCTTTACATAAACAAATGGCGACCCCACTTTTGCCCAGCACAGAGGTGGAGCACAGGGTAAGGCAGGTTCAGACTTGACAAGCTTCGTGCCGGGCTGGCCTCCCCAGCCTTGCTCAGAGTGAGCTGCCCTTCTTGAAGTGATTGAGGCTGCAGTGCTAAGAAAGAAGCTTCATCCTTATCTTTCCCTAGCCTGGCAGACCATTTATAAAGCTTTACGCAGAAGAGTCACACTTTAAATTCTGTACCCTACATCCATCCATTAAAGCAAAAATACAAAGCCACGAGAATCTCCAAAGTCAGCCAGTATTCTTCTCTAGGGGCTGTAAGGTGGTGGTTTTTCAAAAGGAGGATAGTAGGGTGGAGAGTAACGGGGTGGCGCACTTGAGGACCACATGTAGCTGGGTGATGGAGAGGCAGACTGGGGCTCATCAGAAAGTCCAGAAGGAGGAGAGGATGGAAAGACGCTGGAATGCTGTATTAAAAAAAAAAAAAGTCAGTTTAGGCAGCAAGTTTACAATTCCTTGGGCGAAGATGTCTGAGTCTCACGTTACAGTACTGGGTTCAGATCCTGACTCCAGTTTCCTGCTAATGAAGATCAAGTTAGGCAACAATGATGGCTCAATTAATTGGGACCCTGCCACCCAGCTTGAGCCAGACTGTGGTCAGTATATTTAGAGCAGTGAACCAGGAGATAGGAAGATGGAAAGTGTGTTTTCTCTCCTCCACCAATTCCCAAATAAATTCAATTAAAAAGAACATGGATCAAGTCTGTTTCTGACTGAAACAGCTCCTTCAGTTTACAAAATTAATAAGGCTCTTGAAATAGGTATCCTCATGTTCTCTCAGACTGCAAGCCTCATGTGGAAATCTTCGATTCCTCTGACCTAGGGGCTAATGTTACATAGTGGGTTACTTAAATGCTACCATCCCATTAAGGGTGCCAGTTCGAGTCCCAATTGTTCCACTTCTGATCCAGCTCCCTACTAATGCGCCTGAGAAAGCAATAGAAGATAGCCCAAGTGCTCCTTGGCCTCAGCCTGGCTCTGCCCCAGCCATTGTGGAAATTTGTAGAGTAAGCCAATGGATGGAAAATATCTGTGTTTCTGTAACTCTTCCTTTTAAAGAAATAATAAATCTTTTAAAAGAACCAAATTCTTTGTGGTCTCTTGAATCCACTGCTCCATTTTCTATGTTAATAACTCAGGCCTTTAATACCTCTCCCTTCAGTGCTGGCAGCAGTATCCCAACTAGTCTTCCAAAAAGTAGTTTAGGTTTTTACATTCAATGAGGCTAAGTCATTGATCACTGGGAAAGTCTTTGCTATTAAGATGTATCTCAGGGAACTAGTTCAGGGGTCAGAAACTGAACTTAGAAAAGTGTTCAGAGCTTGTTAGATCTGAGGACTTCCATTTTCTACTCCACTTTAACTGCCAAGCCATCGCCACCAAATAAAGCGTACACTGGTGAGAAAAGAGCAATGGAATTGAGACAAGAATGAACAACTGCTCAAGACCTGGGGCTATGAATGGGCCTGGTAGGGGAACTGCAGACTCCCATGCTGGGCTGCAACTCCCACCAGTGAATGTGAGAACTAGGGCTGTAGGCTGACCAGGCTGGGCAAGGCTACAGCATCCATTAGCACGCATATGAGCTAGGCCTGGGGGCGGGCCAAGATTGGGCTAGTCTCCAGTACCTGCTGGTGCTTGCAAAAGCCAGAAGGGGTGTGGGACAGGCCAGGTTAGGCAGTTTCACTTGCTGGGTCACATGAGAGCCAGAGTTATGGATGGATGAGGTTAGACTAGGCTATAGAACCCATTAGTGAGAACCAGAATGGGTACAGGCCAGATGGGCTATGTCACAGTACCCACCAGTGAGTGTCAGGACTGGGAGCCAGCCATGTCAGTCTAGACAGCAGCACCTGATGGCACATGTGGGATCCAGGGGTGGGAGCAGGCCTGGTGGGGGGATTTCCCTGCTAGCCACAGCTCCCATTGGTGAGTGTCAGAGCCAGGGCTGGTAGCAAGCTAGAGCAGGCTAGGCTCCAGCACCTGTTGGTATATGTGTGAGCCAGGTCTGAGGGCAGTCCAGGTAAGGTCAGTTCACAGCACACACTGGTACAAGTAGGAGCCATAACAGGGTGCAGGCCAGGCTGGGTTGGACTGCAACATCTGCCAGTTCACTTGAGTGCTAGGAGTGGACCAGGCTGGGGTAGGCTGTAGCACCCATGGGTGAGAGCTGGGACTGGGTGGGGGGCAGGCTAAGCCAGGCTGTAACAGCTGCTGGCGAATGCCAAGACTTGGGGCAGGCCACCTGCTGGTACACACAAGACCCAGATCTGGGAGCGGGCCTGGCAGGGGAACTTTGGGGACTCCCTTACTAGGCTGCTGCTTCCACTGGTGAGTGGGAGAGTTTGGACTAGGGGTGGGCTAGCCTGGGTGTGGGCCAGGCTGGACTAGGCTGCTGCACTTGCTGGTGTGTACAAGAACCAGAATGGCTGCAGGCCAGCCAAGCTACAGCACTAGCTGCAAGTGCTGGAACTTGGTGCAAGTCATGTGAAGCTGGACTTCAGTAACCCTGGCAGACACAAGATCTGAGGCTGGGAACATGCCTGGCAGAGGAACTGCGGGCACACTCCTGCTAAGCTGTACCTATCAATGGTAAGCACAAAAACCAAGGCTGAGGGCAGGCCAGGCTGGATAAGGCAGTAGCACCCCTCAGCATACATGAAGGCTGGGTTTTGGAGCAGGTCAGGCTGAGCTAAGCCATAGCATGCACAGGTGTGCATGAGAGCCAGCTGGGGTGCCTGCTGGGCCAGGCTAAGCTGCATCAGAGACTGGCATGTACAAAAACTGGGGTTGGGCCTGGTGGGGGTTATTGATGATCGCCCTGACTAGGTCACAATACCTGCTGGTATGTATGAGGACCAGATCTGTGGCAGGTTGGCTGGGCTAGGGCACAACACCTGTAAGTGTGTGAGACACAGAGCTAAGGCTGAAGTGACCAAGCTGCATCCATC